GAAACAGAAGGTGGAAGCCACAGAACCAACTACATCCTTTCATCTGTTTGTTGGAAACCTGAACAGTAACAAATCTATCCCTGAATTAAAAACTGGTATTAGTGATGTTTTTGCTAAAAATGATCATGCTGTCATGGATGTCAGAATCGGGACATCTAGGAAGTTTGGCTATGTTGACTTCGAATCTGCTGAAGATATCTAGAAAAAGCTTTGGAACTCACCGGTTTAAGTCTTTGGCAATGAAATTAAACTGGAGAAACCAAAAGGAAAAGATAATAAGAAAGATCGAGATGCAAGAACACTTTTGGCCAAAAATCTCCCCTACAAAGTCACTCAAGATGAATTAAAAGAAGTATTTGAAGATGCCATGGAGATCAGAATAATAAGCAAAGATGGAAAAAGTAAAGGGATTGCCTACATTGAATTTAAGACAGAAGCTGATGCAGAGAAAACCTTTGAAGAAAAGCAGGGAACAGAGATTGATGGTCGGTCTATTTCTCTATACTACACTGGAAAGAAAGGTCAAAATCAAGAATATAGAGGTGGAAAGAATAGCACTTGGAGTGGTGAATCAAAAACTCTGGTTTTGAGCAACCTCTCCTACACTGCAACTGAAGAAACGCTTCAGGAAGTATTTGAGAAGGCTACTTTTATCAAAGTGCCTCAGAGCCAAAATGGCAAATCTAAAGGGTATGCATTTATAGAATTTGCTTCATTTGAAGACGCTAAAGAAGCTTTAAATTCCTGTAATAAAAGGGAAATTGAAGGCAGCACAATCAGGTTGGAGCTGCAAGGACCCAGGGGATCACCTAATGCAAGAAGTCAGCCCTCCAAAACTCTGTCAAAGGTCTGTCTGAGGATACCACTGAAGAGACATTAAAGGAGTCTTTTGACAGCTCTGTTTGTGCAAGGATAGTCACTGACCGGGAAACAGGATCCTCCAAAGGGTTTGGTTTTGTAGACTTCAACAGTGAAGAAGATGCCAAAGCTGCCAAGGAGGCCATGGAAGATGGTGAAATTGATGGAAACAAAGTTACCTTGGA